CCGATAAGCACGGGATAAAAGGCCTAGGAGCGGCACAGCACTAGGAACACAAAACACAGGGGGCCAGGCCCCAACACAGCAAGCATCTTCGTGAAGGGCCTGATGTTGATGAGCCAGAAGTTGATCTTCGCTCACAATGGAGCGTGAAGAACGCCTAAACAGATATGTATGAGAACCTCACCTCCCGTGTTTCGATGTGGGGAGAACTCCAAGCCAATACCCCCAGAGTGAGGAAGTCCATCCATGGTGCCACTCCCAATGTTAGTGGGGCTAAGATTCAGCAGGGATGCTCCTCGCAGAGGACTCTCCTGCAACACACATAATCAAAGTTGTCACATTTATGGAAACTTTATCCACACTGCAGAAATTTGTCGTCCAACAAGAAAAAAGGAAAGAGACAAATTTAAAGCTACAAAAATTCTACATTAATCAGAATTCTCCTCGGCAACACAAAGTTTTTTTCAAAACTTCCAACTTTTCGAAAGCTGCAAGCATGTTACTTGCCAAAAGAAAAATGTAAATACTCATCAACACTTTTAAATCAAGAAGTTAGATGTTTAATAAACTTACTTTTGTATGTAGGATTTGAGGTTTTCACAGTGTCGAGTCTTCTGGGTTGTTGCACCGATAAATGTCGTCGCCCTGATAACAGAGGCAGTATGACCTCTGAAACGTTGGTGGAAATCTACCAGACTACACGGCGTAACAACCCAGAAGACAGAAATCTTCTTTACTATTGCATGTTTTTATATACTCCATTCTGTAACCTTGGTAACAAAACCTTGAGTAACCATCACAATGGCTTGAGAATAATTAGCTCCCTTCATTCCAGCAACTCTACCACTGCTTCGTTTAAAATAATACATATTTTGAAGTCTATAGGTCCATTCAGACTCGATCATTGCCTCCTACATCTAACAACTATCATAACCCACAGTTTTTTCAATGGGTAGTTCTCGACAGATACTGTCTCATGTATGAGTTTATTAGTTTCGTTAGGGGTAACAACGGAAACCTACAAACATTCCACCAATTCCCTGATTAATGCAATTTTTCAATAGGTGGGTATTTGCCCATGAGTCCCATCACTATTTCTGAACAAATGTGGCAACACTGTAAGAATATCAAACATCAACTCCTACCCTACCTGGCCACACACGTTAATATGTAAGGGTGGTGATACTTGACGTCTCTCCTGTATGCCACCTCCTGCGACAGGATCTCCTGAGTACACTGTGTGTCCTTGAGTATTGGGGCTGAGCTGGGACCCTGGTCCGTGACCTGGCTTTGGGTAACTCTGGTGAGATAAATATCCAGAGTCCTTTTGGGGGATGTTATTTCCTGTGATAGGTATTGGTGGGCAATCTCTGGAAAGTGATCATAAGGAAAGACATTATAGTTTTTATTTTTTCCGTACCATACATTTTAATCCAAACACCACATAACATATGTTTGATACCCAACTGAATTGCCTAAATGAAGACCTATAAAATCACATGAATCTGCAAAATGCCACTGGGCATATCTAACAACAAATAAAACAATTCTAAACTGATTTCCATTTATAATATAAAATACAGGCCGAAAAGGTTGTGGTTCACCGACTGGTTCACAGGTTATTTAATAATGCCTCAATCAAAGACACAGAACCATGTTATACTCTTCTTATCTTTATTATGGACAGCAGCGTTATGGTTTCTTTTTCCTAAATTTTTCAGAAGATTTTGAATAAATCTTTTGATCCAATATTCCTAATACCAAACCTTCTGTAATATCAGCAAGAGCTGTATGCATTGTCATGTCCTTGGCTTGACCATTATTCATTTTGCTCGAAATAGTCCTTAACCCACTTGTTTTTTGTAGCCAGTATACGAAGGAAAAAAAACTTGTATCTTGAATTACAATAATTCTTTTATAATCTTTTGCTCTTTCAACAGTTTTTGTGACATGTGATGCTAAAACACCAGCTTCTTTTACGCTCTCATTTTGCAAAAAGCGATATGTTGCCTTTGCTTCTGACCAACTTACACATGCTTCATTAACTGAACTTTCAGGTAAACTTGTCAAACTATCAGCAACACTTACTAATCAGTCTGTTAGTCTTTCATCAGAAAGCATATCTGATCAATTTTATAGATACTGCATTAAAACGTTTCTGTGAAATATCCATGCCAAAGACACATGGGAGGGCACTTTCGAAGCAACTGCTTACAAATTACACATAATCATAACCCATACGATGACAATAACTTTAACTGCTGTAGAAATCTCAAACCCACAGAAAGTACCTCTCCCGGCTAGTAACACTTTCAGTGCGGTGATGTTTAAGACGTATTCAACAGCCACTGATCTTGAACTCAGACTACTAATAAGTCACGTGTAGCTGAGCAACTCTTACCCAGCACTGTAGCATGGTTCGTATTGCCTGAAGTCCTTGGGATAAGAGACGTGACTCACTGGCCAGCGTGACTGGTGGTTTGGCCGACTTGAGTGATTTGCAGAGACGTGACGAGTAAACTGTGCAGAACTTCTCACTGATGAAGAGCGATTATTTGAAGACATCCCTAACAAAATAAAATAACTACTAAATAGAAACTCAATGTAAAACTTCTCAGATATTTATGAAAAATGAAGTACTTTCACTTAAGAACTCAATCTGAGAGTTTGCAAAACAATTCCTGATACAATTTATTAATTTCCTAACATTTGTAGAATTTGCCATGCACAAGACAAAACAGTTGATAGTAGTTCAGTACTACAATACACTAATAGTCAATGAAGAAAACTAGCAAACTATAATAAAAAATGGCCTTAACATTACCATATAAAACATGTAACCTTGACTTTATTGACAAGTATCCAAAGAAATGCTGTTTCTCTTGGTATACCATACACATGCACAATATTAAATACATTACTGTCATGTTACAAATCACATAATGCCACCATCATAGCTGCAAGTATTTGTAAAGACAAGCTTTTGTTCTCACAGATGTCTGAAACTGGCCTATCAACCAAATTATTGTTTGATGAGCGTCAGTATTTCAAACCTACGTAACATGTCTATTACATATGCCTTCAACAATTTAAGTACAGGATGGTGTAAAACTGCACTGCACAAAGGGGGCTTCATAATCTGTACCCTTCACCAATTATCAGATGGATCAAATCAATGAGGATAAGATGGGTAAGAAACCTGCATACAAAATTGTACTTGCAAAACTGGAGCAGAAGAGACCAACTACAGATGTGAGGATAATATTAAAGTAATTCTTAAAGACATAGGGATGAGGATGTGAATTCACCTAGCTCAGGATAGGATCCAGTGGTGAGCGCTTGCAAACATGGTAATCTATGGGTTCTATAAAAGGCAGCTTGACCCTGGTGACTGACTGCACTGCTGCTTCTAGTAGAATAATGACTTTTTTGTACATTTACATTTTCCTGATGTTCATTTCTTCGAAACATTGGAAAGTAACTCCTTACTTACACAGTCAATCTCGCAAGAATACTTCATTGAAAAATGAGCCTTCTCGTTTTGCAAGTCTCCTTACTGTTTCATGGGTGTAATGTTGTGTCGATCCTGTACTTGCTGAAATCTCATGTGGGTTATATACACATTATAATAGGGACAAATATATATATATATATATAGTTAGTGGCACAATTCTGACATGTTTTAGCATCCCTAACCTAGCTTTAATTTTATATAAGGAAATCACACAAACGAAATGAGTTATAAAGCACAATACTTACTGTAGCATGCCCTTCAAGGAATATTACCTTGATAATTTTTTGCCCGGACCTAGGATAGCTTCGTTATAAATATAAGTACCATTAAGGATGATGCCCGGTATTGATCCACTGATAATTCTATTTCCAACATTTTTAAGATTATAATTTTTTTCTTACACCTACAATTCTTTGTCCAAAATATCGTTTTCAACTAACCTGCGAATATGTAAAACAGGAAAACTGTTATCTGTAACTGCTTGACAAAGCAGTTTTACATAGTGTTGTTGATAAAACTCACTAATGAAAATTATTTGCACTGTCCTTTAGAAATTTGAAACAATTTGTCTTGTAGAAACGTTTTCTGATAGTAGTATTACCAAACATCAGACACAAGCT